CTTTCTAAGTCTTGCTTTTACCGTCATAAATATTCAAAATTTGAGATAATGGTATAGCTGACTTTAATCACATTAGAGGAGAAGCCTCTATTAAGGCCATTTCTGTTTTAATCCATAAGTGAACCCCAGGACCCGGCCCAGCTCACTTAGTTAATCAAAGCAGTGAGCACCAATCGCTGTGCGCCTGCTCTGTGCTGGGCGAGCTTTGTCGTACCCGTTTCACAAAGGAGAACAATGGGTTCAGAGAGAGGAGGTCATCATTGCCCATGGCCTCCTGGTGGGTGCTGGGGTCTGTGAGGGCCCTGGGCAGAGTTCTGCCCCATGATCTTGTGGGGAAACAACCCCAGAGAGCAGCCCCACCTTTCTGCTCTGGAGCCTGTCTCTAACTGCGGCCACATCCCAGGAGGGTCTGGGTTTGGGGACCCGCCATCATCCCACAACCACTGTGGGCTCGGAATTCTCTTGCACAGAATTCCACCTTGGGTCACCTTCCCTGCCCAGAGACTCTCTAGGGCCAAACCCTTCCCAGTGCCCAGGGACTCTCTGGTGGACGTCAGCCCAGGTCACCAGCTATAGGCATCAGAGAGTCCCTTCCCAAGTAGTTCCTGCCAGACTCCACTGCAGCCGTGCTATGGCCCATCCTATACTCAGGTCTTGTCCCACTGACCATGGGCCTTTAGAAGCCCAGAGAAGCTGAGCTCCCCCTTTCTGCAGGCCTACCCTGTCTGAGACAGAGAACATGACTCCTATCGGGGGAGCAGGCCAGTGGCACAGCAGACAAGGCAATCCTGTCACCGAATGGGAGATGCCATAGGCTCGCATCCCATGACATCCTGGACTCCCCTGGAGTCCTGGATGAGCATTCCAGCTTCAGCCACCCTGAAAAAAAAATCACTGCCAGTGGGGAGGACGGAACACTCCAAATTTCAGTCTCAAGTTCCTTTAGCCACTTGGAGGATCCAGGAATTCAAAATGCCCCAAACACAACTGTTCTCTCCCCACCCCCAGCAGCACACCCAGGAGGACGCCATGGCTAGATTGCTCCAATCCTATCATGCGTGGGAGAGCCACTGGCTGCAACCTTGCTAGCACCTTAGCTTTGAATCTGAAAACCAAGCACCAGATGATACCCAAGTGTGAATCAATGCCCAGGAGGAAGCCCACCTCGGGGCCCAACTGTTGGCTCAGGTAGCTCCCACATTGAGGGTATCAATGTCAGCCTTTAATCCCAGCTACCATATTATTGGTGCCCCCACACCAGATCTCACAGTAGCTATGAAAAGGATCTGATACTGTCCCAATTTACAGATGAGTAAAATGAGTCACAAGGCATTAGTGTGACTGACTCACCAAAGACACAAAAGCACTGAGCGTTAAGGATGCAGTTGGAAATGAGGCAGATCAGACTCAAGAGCCATACACCAAGCCCATCTGTCTAGTCCAGGGATCAATTCTGGCAAGTAAATGTTCCAATTCTGATTTTAAACGAGTGTTGTTGGTGTTGGTTTTCTCAGCACTGAGGTTTGCCTGGTCACCATGTCCAGACAGTCTCCACAGGCACTGGGATGACTAAACTAGCCTTCCTAGAACAGACTCATCTGCTCCTAGATTTAACCAGTTAATCAGAGCAACCAGAACAACACTGTGCCATTCAATGGCAATCTTAGTCCAGAAACTAGAAAATAAATATGAGCAAGAATGTCACCAATTATACCAGAGAGCTGAGCATACCAGCCATGTCTGTTGGCCTGCCACTCTGGAAAAGCCAACCCACCCTGCATGTAAGTATAAATCTTACTTGAGTAAAACCTTGTTCTTGACTTTTCTTAGTGTTACTCTCAGTCCTTCAACTTATGGGGGAAGCATGAAAAAAAAAAGTGGGCTTCAGAGGCTGACACACCCGGGGAGACCTGGTACCAGCTCTCTGTAGCCTCACTCTTCAGTTTTCTCATCTCTAAAATGGGGACAATTATGGCTCTCATTTAAAACGAATAAACTGAAATGCTGGCTTTCAGCACCCACCTCTGGGAGCTTTATCAGGGGTGTGGCAGGACCTCTGTTTGGACAAGGAGTGTGTGAGCCCACAAGGTCCTGCCATTGTTATGGGATAGACATCTATGTGCCCCTCTGTCCAGAGGCCACCCTGCCTCCAGGAGTGACTCCATCCTAAAACCAGAACCACTTTTGTCATTGCTGCCTCGCAGGAGGACTGTGTATGTTCAGTGCAGGGAGACCTTAGAACTGTTAGGGGTCAAACCCAGCAGCCTACGGGCTTGTCTGCAGCCTGCAAGGGTGTTTCGTTGGCCCACAGGCTGATTTCAGCAGCGACCAACTTTAAAATTGGGATAGCTCACACAAAATCTAGATTTCTGGGTCCCCTTGAAAAAAACCAGAAGATTCCCCAACGTGCAGCTCTCATTCCCATCGAGGCGATGATCAGCCAGAGAGGAGAGGCAGCTGCCCCCTGTAACAGACAAGTCACTCAGAAGAGCCGGAAGTGGGGTGTTTAGCCCCGCACACAGTCGGTGGTCAATAAATGATAGTTGTGATCATTACTTATTATTTATCAGTAACTTCCGAGCACGGCACTTACGTACAGGGACTGTGCCTTCTACTGGCCTCTCTCCTCCTGCTGTGAGCAGGGGGCTGGGCACACAGGGGACCTCATTTTGCATAACCTTTATGCGGGCGGAAGGATTCAAAGTCAGCATCCACACCCAAAGCCCTTACTAGGTGCCAGTCACTCTTGTAATTACTCACACAAGGTATTATCTCATTTGATCTTCAACGCAGCCCCGGCCATAATCACTAACATTGGGGAGACCCAGGCACAGCGCAAGGTCACTAAGCCAGCAAAGGGGAGTTGAGAATCCAACCCAAGAGCGCGTCCCCAGAGTCCACGTTCTCATCACACTCTACACACGGCAGGGGCACCCCAAGTGCGGATGCAGGGCAGGGCCTCACCTGCGTCCAGCCTCCCTCGCCGACCCCCCGGGAGCCAGGCCGACTCCGCATGCACTTACGGTCAAGGCCGTTGATGTAGCGCATGGTGACTTCACAGTGGCCCCACACGGCACTCACCACCGGGTACAGCTTCTTGCCCTTGAGGCCACGGAAGGCCACGCCCAGGTACTGGCCGTCCACGACGAAGCTGAGCGTGCCCTCGTCCATGTCCAGCACCACGAGCAGCGAGTCCGGCAGCGCGAAGGCCTCCTCGGGCTCCAGGAAGGCGGGGTAGGCGATGCCGGGCCGGTTCTTGCCATCGTGGTAGAGGCGACTGCGGCCCAGGTCCCAGCCCCAGGACTCGGCGTCGCTGCCCACCAGCGCCGTGTAGCCCACCGAGTGCAGGGGCGCCCGGGCCGTGGCGACGCCCACCACCGCGTGGGTGCCCCGCTGGCGCACCGGCCAGTGGATCTGCCAGGCGTGCAGCCCGCGGGCGTGGCCCACCTTGCCGCGGATGCCGTCGGTGCTCTGGGCCACCGGGTGCCGGTGGAAGGTGAGCCGGTCGTCGTCCTTGACGAAGACGTTGAGCGAGCGGTCCTCGGGGTTCCACGCGTGGCGCAGCTGCACCGCCGGCCCCGCCGCGGGCATGTCCAGAAGCTGGTCCAGCCGCGTCGGCCGCTCGGGCTCTGCTCCGCGCAGCTCCCGCTTGGCCGGCCGCAGCGCCGGCTCGCGAACCTCCACCGACTTGAGGCTCCCCGAGAGCTTCTGGCCCATGGTTCACTCCCGGGAGGGGCCCCGGCTCAGGCCTCTGCTACCTCGTGGGAGCTGCCACTCCCCGCTGCCAGGGATGGGCCAGGGGCCTGGGGACCAGGCTGCCGGACGGTCTACCTCCACAGCCTCTGCGGGGCTGGGGCAGGGGCCCAAGCTCCTGGAAGGAAGCAAAGGGCACAGGTTATAGCAGCAGCAGCGATGCCATGTATGCCCGTGCCTAGGCTGAGCCCTTACCATGCCTTCATAATAATGAATTAATGTATCTGGCACTTACCTAATACTTGCCATATGCCAGACACTGTTCTAAATGATTTACATGTATTATTAGCTTATATAATCCTTAAGCCTCCCCATGACATATACACGACTCCCAAATTATAGATGAGAAAGCTAAAAGAGACAGGGTACGTAATTAACCAAAGTCCTACAGCCAATAAGGGGCTGAGCCAAGACTCAAACGGAGGCCACCTGGCTTCAGCGTCCATGGCCTGTACGCGGAGCAATCCTAGATCATTTTCATTGAGAAATATGGACTAAACCCAGAGAAGTCAAGTGACTTGTCCAAGATCACAGAGGCTGGAGAGGAGCCCAGGTGGCATTTGATTCCAGAGGGCACGCCCCGTGCCAAGGCTGGGGGCACAGCTGCCTAAGACATGGGGGCCGGAGACACAGAGGCTATGGCCCCTCATCTCCTTTCCCTGGCGGCCCTGGGGAGCTTACACAGCATCTAAAGTGCAATCAGTGTTGAGAAGTGAGATACGGAGCGAGGATCCAGCACCATCACCCAGGGACATGGAGATGGATACAAGGCAACCGTCTGAGGATGGGGTGGGGTCTCCATGGCAAGATGAGCAGGAAGCAGGGGGATAAGGGAGCTGGTGTCCAGGCTCTGGAACCAAACAGAACTGCATCCAAATCCCTCTCTCCATCTCTCTGAGACTCCAGTTTCCTCAACTATAAAATGGAGATAAAACGCTTCCCCGCAGGTGGCATGGGAATCCGAGAGACAATCATGTAAAGGGCTGGCCTGTGGGCAGGCTTTCCTCGCTGGGCCTATCCGCTGGGCATCCCACCTGAATGGTTTCCCTTTGGAGGGGCAAGCTCTTTCTTTGGGCGTGTAAACACTGTCCACAGCATTCACTCCGGGAAACCTCCTGTGAGGCAGGATCCTAGTGTTCAGGGAGGAGCACTTGGCCACCATCACTAGGAGACCAGCCAGATCCAGGGCGCCTGGTGTGAGTTGAGATGGGGAGCTGAGCCCTGCAGCCTGCCCAGGGCAGAGGCATGTGCCCTCCCCACCCTGGCCTGAGAGTGGCTGGGCTCAGAAAATCTTCTACGGAGACAGACCAGGAGACAGGTGTTTTCCATCCCTTGCTCCGGGGGCCGTGGCCTCCCGCCCACACAGTGGCACGACTCCCAGCCAGAGTGCAGGTGGAGAGGGAGGGAAGCCTGCTGCCACACAGACAGGCAGAGATGCTGCGCATTTCTTCTTTAACCCTCCTACTTTATTCTCAACTCCCGTTTCCTTTCCTGTCTATGGTTAGACCCCAGCTTCAGTTCGTGCCCACGCCATCCAGAGAGCTCTGGCTAACGTTGAATCTGGAGGGATACCAGAACACACAGCAAGGAAAATTCACAACCCCAGACAGTTCTAAGTTAGCAGGATAAAGGTACGTCTTTTGATATCCCCGATCACCCACGGTAAGAGAGAAAGCGACACAGAAATGCAAATTCTATCTTCGGCAAAACTAGAGCACACTTGTAACCCGAGCCACAGCTTCTAAGGAGAGGCTGCCAAAAGCAGTGAAGGGCTGCCAGAAGCAGTGAGGATCAAAGGGGGTGTGAGAAAGCACCTACACAAGCCACCTGTGGCTGCAACACTCGGATAGAGCTGCCTGATCTCTCTTGCTTGTACTCCCAAAACAAAACAAAACAAATAAGGATTCCTAACCAGGAAAAATGGGAACAGGGCTTGTGGCCTGGCAATGGGAGCTGCCTGTGACACCCAGGTCACCCAGGAACATGGACGTGAACATAAGGCAACCACCTGAGGATGGGGTGGGGTCTCATAGGAAGGTCGGTGTGAGGCAGGGGGATTGAGGAGAAAAGAGGAGGGCAGGGCTAACACAGAAAACCACGGACCAGCCATCTTCACAGGGAGCAGTGTGTTGGTGAGGCAGAGCGGGAGAGGGGTCTGCATTGGGGGAAGGCTACAGCTGCAGGTCTCTGCTGTCTGGGTAGAAGCTAAAAGAAATCACTGCCACCGTCCAGTGAACAGTTACCAGGAACCTGAGAGCGACCCTGCTGGCCTAGAATGCTCCCACGAACCTCCCCTACATGCCTGCTGGCCTAGAATGCTCCCACGAACCTCCCCTACATGCATGCCCTGCAAAATGCTGATCTGAGAAGGTTCGCCCCTTTCAAAGAGCGACCAGCACACAATATAGTCAAAGATGCTAGAGGAGAAATCAAGAAGGAAAAGAACAGAAAAAAATATGGCAAACCAAGAAAACTCACCAGGAAAAAAAAAAGCTGTCACAAAGCACATAAAAATCATGACTACATTTGTAAACTAATTTTATGATCACTTTTTCAAAAGGGAGACAACTAGTACAGTCTTTTACAAAAATTAATGCATTTTATGTAGTCCTAAAGGCTACCTCCAGAAGAACTAAAAATACAAACCTTCCAGTTCTTAGAAGGAACACAATACAAAATAAAACAAACCATACCGTGAAAAGAGTTTGTTTTAAAAAGCAATGGAAGCAAAAAGACATAAAACTACTAAAAAGAAAGGATCCTAAGATTGGGGAACAAGACAAAACCCTCAACAGTATGCTTCCTACAAGAGACATCCCCAAAGCAAAGTGATTTGACAATTTTGAAAATAAAGGAAGAGCAAATATATACCAGGTGAGTATAGACCAGGTAAGTGCTACCTCAAATTAAACAGGCACTATTGCCTTAATATAGTCAAGTGAAGTTGAATTCAGGATAAATGGTTTCAAATGAGACCAAGAAGAACACTCTACAATAATAACGAATATGACCCACAATTGAAGATCTAACACACCAAATAACAGCACCAAAATTCAGAGCAAAAGCAACAGGAACCAGAAGGAAGAACAGACAGATACACCATAGAGGCAGGTGGTTTTAATTCACCTCTTTTAGCTCATGACAGATCAAGGGACCACATTAGGTAAAGTCAGAAAAAAACAAAATTGCATCATTAATAAGATGGTTTTAATTGATATATATTTCAAAAAAATTTCCCATATTTTAGGCCACAAATAAAACCTTGCCAAAAAAGCTGAAATAATACAGAATCTGATAATATAGAAGCAAAACTAGAAATTAATCACAAAATTATGGATCACAAAACTCTACCATGTGAACATTTTTAAAAACTCTCCTTTAGTCACCTTACTCTGTTTGTGTCTGTGTTATTTACAAGTGATGGGCTCACCAGGCGTATTAGGAAATTCCCCTTGGGAGGCAGCAGTGGTCCCGGGCCAACAGAAGTAGGCCACCTATTGCCGGAGCACCTTCTCTCCTACCACGCGCACCCTCGGTGCTGTTGGCAGACTGCTGCCACCGCCCTGGGTCACTGCGGCCCTTCTCAAGCTTCACGAAAACCTTCCCTTATTTTTCTGTGCATGACAGGGCTCTGTCCTGTCTCTCATGGAGCAGTTTTGCCAATTTAAATGTGACTACGGTATCAACAGTAAAATGGCTGTAAACAAACAAACAAACTCTCTTTTAATCAACCCAGATTTTAAAAAGAGAGGTCTATACAGAAATTCCAGAATACCTAGAGACTAAGCATAATAAGAAATATTCCATGTATTAGAATCTGTGGGATCTCACTCAAATCGTTGCTCAAAGGCCATTATGTCTGTCTTACTTATACTAGCAAATAAAAAAGCATAAAAATACATGAATGAAGCATAATAAGATAGAAAAAAATAGAACTAATCAAGCAATCTGAGCACTGGTTCTTTGGGGGGGGGGGGAAATACAGTACCACAAAAACCAAACCAATAAAACATATAAACCACTTAATCTACTCATTTAGTCTATATTTTGTTATCATATTATTAGTATATTATTTCTATTATGTTAATCTATCATGTTGCTAATATGTACCCTTGGTAGGATGTAATGAAATAAAAGATACCTCTATGGTTGTCCTCCTACAAACCTGAGCCTAATCATGAGAAAAACATAGGACAACTTCCATCAGAATACCCCCACTAGTCCTCCTCCAAACTGTCAAGGCCATTAAAGACAGCCACAGCCAAGAGGAGCCTAAGGAGACATAACAACCAAATATGATGTGATGTCCTGGATAAGATCCTGGAACAAAAAAGGACATTAAGTAAAAACTAAGGAAATCTGAATGAAGTATGGCCTTTAGTTAATAACAATAATCAATATTGGTTCATTAGCTGTGATAAATGTAGCACACTAATGTAAGATGTTAATAATAGGGGACACTGGGTGTGAGTATCTGGAACTCTCTGTACCATCTACTTAGTTTTTCTATCAATCTAAAACTAATCTAAATAAAGTCTATTTACTAAAAACATCAAATTAATTTCTAAATTTTAGATAATACCAAAAAAAATGTACAAAAACTTGAAATCAACTCTATCTCATTAACCAGATATAAACATTGTTAGTATTTGAATGTATTTCATTTTATCCCTTTTTTGTCCATAAAATATTAGTAAGTTTTCTTTTTAAAAATTGGCATCATGGGACTTTATTCAGGTTATCTCACCTAAAACTTAATAATTAACATGTTCATATATTACTAAATATACTTTAAATGCATGACTTTATGACTAAATAATAAACCTTGTAAACCACTTAATCATTTAAAAGAGAGGAGCGGAAGACACAAATACGTAAAATATGAAATGAAAATGTGAAATAACCAAATGGCATAGCAAAAATCACCCATAAAAGAAGTTAGACTTGTTTGTAGTTTTAAAATGGGGAGATATGTGCAACACAAATCATAAATATGACAAACTCCTACAAATGAGTCTGAGAGATCAACCCAAATACAAAATGTGACAGGATACTACAAACAGTTCACACACAAAAAACAAACAGCTTCTTTGAAAAGATGATCTATCTACCAAATGC